CTACAGTTTTCGTCCGGTATCTGTGATCCACCACATTCAGCATTCTCATCAATGGGCATGTCAATTGTATATGTTCCAAACGGACTCTGACATTCCTTGGCTCCTAAAAGGGCATCATCGCAAGGCGTGTCATGACAACACATGGGTTGAAAGCGTTCGTCATCTTTCCCCATGCAGAAAAGCGAACCAACTGAAACAAGAACATAAAGTGTGACACTGAAAATCACTAACTATCAAGACTCTTTAACAGGAGTGGCATAGGAAGGTGAAGGGAAGCTGGGAGAGGAAAGGCGAGCAGGAAAACTATCGATCCAAGCTTTTACAATGGTTTAGTCTTGTTTGTGAATCTGTGTTCGAAGAACCACGAAGACAAGATTTTATCACTACTCTCAAAGATTTCACAGGGGATTTATGCTAGCTGCACTTAATTTTCAAACAAAAGCATTGCTTGGAGGAGTCATGTGGTTGGTCGAGCAGGTGAACAATTAAGTGCTCTGCTCTCATTCCAGACAGACGCCGTCCACAATGATTATCTTACTGTTTCCTTTTTGCTTTTCTGCAGTGCATTTGGCTGTATCTGTGATCGTAAAGCGGTCGAATTCAAACTTTCGCCACGAAGTAGTTCCCAACTTCTGACGGAACTCTTTAATGTTGCCTTGACCATTTTTGAAGTATGAAGCGCTCTCATGCCGAACTTGCAAATGTACCCTTCCCGGCATGTTATTATTGGAATGCTGAGAATTAGGACCGTAGAGCTCGACATACATCTGAAATACAAAGTTCATTTAGTCTTCGATGAGATAATGAAGTATCGAAGGGATCACGGATCAAGCATCAGGAATCAAGGATCATAATTATGTGTAGAAACCTTACCTTTAGCAAACGGACGTTGAAACACGTTCTACAGCTTTCACCGATACCAATGTTTAACCTCGCTTTACCCTTATGGAGGTCTCCAAAAAACTAACATTGATTAAACAAACAAAATACTATTCAATATATTTTATAATTGTACATAATGACACATCCMTTTTTACA